AAAAAAAAAACAGCCTGTTGATAGTGGGGCCAATTAGGAGCTGCCAGGTCAAAGCCAACCCAAAACAGCTCACCCAAGGAGGGGCCTGCTGAGACTCTTAAAGGCACAGTACACACATATAAAAAAAATACAGACATACTGACACGCACTGATTCTGTATATGGCCAGGGCTGTAACACCACTGAGAGAATATATTAACATCTTGATCACCTTGTTTAGACAGCATCAACAAGTTTTTGGTGACAATGATTTATTGATTGTTGAAAAAGATTTACAGCATGCTGCAGGTTAACGAGAGTGATTTACTATATTTGTTGTTGTGAAATTTATCTTCAGTAAAACAGTGCTGCTGTTTCACGCCCTTGTGTTTAGCTCTCTGTGCTTGGAGAGAAATCCTGCTTGTGCAAATCAACTCATTTTTGACTGATGGGGTGCAGTAGTGCAAAGGAGAAAGGTGGTCCTAATGTGATTGGTCACCTTGATGGACACTTCAGGTTACTGTGTTAAATTCAGTTACACAGTGAAAGTGACATAGGCGCTGCTTGTGTCCGTATTTGTTTACATTTTGAAAGACAAAGTTTACCAAATTATCAACAGTTAATGTTTGATGCATAGCAGTGTAAATGCAAACAACCATCACTGTATTACTTTACTGCTGAACAAATCCTACAAACCAGAGAAATCTAAGTTAAGTTCTGAAGTTGTGAAGCCATGTCACAGCTGTCCCATTAATCTATTGTACAGTATTACAAAGCTTTTATGACTGAAAAAACACATAACGAGGATCAGGAAAAGAAGTGTGCATCAGAACCTCTAAGGGCCAAATTTTTACTTTGGCCAAAATACAGACATTTAAACCTTTGAACAAAAAGTTGCTCAGTCTGCATCAAACACATGTAACTGCACATACCATAACTGGACAGGAGTGCTTCAAAACGTGTCCTAGAATTATATGTTTTTCAGTGTTAAAGTGAAGCCAGTGATAAATCAGTACATTCACTGGTGCACAGAACATCCCATGTAGCATAATTAGATTCATATGAATACAATACAATACAATACAGTTTTATTTATATAGCACATTTAAAAACCCGAAGGCACACCAAAGTGCTTCACAGTAATATGGAGA